GGATAAATGGGATAGTACATTGTGAGTAAATATAAAAGATTAAACGAGGGGAGGAAATAAAGTTTACGAGTTAGCCGAGCAGGAGCCGAAGGCTCCTGCCCAACCTTACATCATGAGATTGGAAATATTGAGAACAATTGAATGCTGATCCATGGCTAATCCATGTTGTCTGGAGACCACCGCTTGGTCTTTCATGCTGCTTCCTCACTTTGGGAAGAGGCTTTGCTCTTTTTATAGTTGTGGAGGAGGCCCATGAGGTACAGACCAATAGCGCATTAGTAAGATGATGACTAGCACTTTTTCTACATGCTACCCCTTTAGGAAGTCCTGGTCTCCGGGACTAGAAGTAAACTCTAGGGCCTGTTTGGCAAAATACCGACGCATTGTCGTCTTTACGGCACCAGTAGCGGTGGTGCTTCTGCATACTGAGACATGATGGCGAACTAGACATTTTGGGCAAAGGTTTTTGTCGTTGAGTAAAATAGATGCCCTTGTTGTGAAGGGTAAAGGAACTGCGCATTGTGGCGTAGGATACATAGTTCGCTCGCACAGAAGGCAAGAGCGAGGAGGTGAAGGGACTGGACGAGATTTTGTTTTAGCCGTCTGGGGGATAGGAGAATAGTTCACGTTGTTGACAAACGTTTGTGCGGGAGGAAGGTCGAAGAATGGTAAAGTATAGAGAATTTCTTTTGGACTGGGAGTGCGCGGCTATGAGATTCGTAGAGGCCTAGGCCAGCAAGTTTTTGCGCTGAAGAGTTGTTTAGGGCTTAGAGACGGAGGTGGAGTTCAGTTGTCGGGTTTGAATACACAAGGTTTAAATGTGGGGGTTGGCCATGGGGACAGGGGTTTTTGCTGGAGAGAGTCGGCGAGCTCCGCCAAAGCCTATTGGTGAGTTTTACAGGTAGTTTTGGAGGTTTTGGAGGTAGGGGAGGCGAAAGGGTATGAGTAGGGGTAGTGTTAGGAGGAGTGCACATTTTTGTTATTGCCACATCAGATAAAGGTTTAGAAAGAGAAGAATCTGAAGAGGAAAAAGATTTTGATGAGGAGAAGGAAGAGGAAGAGACAAAGCGGAAAGGGGATGATAATGATGTTGAGATCTTGGTCGTTCTGCTGAATCGGGTTGAAATAACAGGGAGCGTTCTGTTGGTGGAAAT